ATACAGATCTTTGTATTCATTTTGAGCTCACACAGTATTTTTTTTAAATAAGAAAATTTTATGTCACGACCTGATGTCAAGTTCTTTTGAGAAATTCAAAGATCTGCCAACACTAGGCCTTCTATTTTCTAATAGAAATCATCTGGACCTAAATGTTTCTGGACCTGAAAATTTAGATTACTCTTGTACATTCTCTCACCCGTTCTAAGCAGCATGGCTCTCATTCACCACAGTTCCCGTGGAGCCCACATGGACACTCATCTGTGTTAGCTGTCTGGCTCCTGAAGTCCTGAGTGCCACTGCTCTAGTCACCACTGACTCTCCCCAAACTGCATTTTTTTGGAGTAATTTCATGAATCTCTACTTCTGTATATGCAGTCCTCTTTATTTAAAATGCCTTCTCTTTACATCATTAGTCTAATTAACTTTTATCTATCCTTCAACTCTCAGTCAAATATCATCTCTTCCATAAAGTACTCTCTTGATTCTTTCCACTCCCATTTACCACATAATGGTCATGGTCCCCTCCATAATTCCATATTTCCACCACCACCACCCTCCCTTGCCCATCACCACCTCCCACCCTTGATCCTACCCCCCTTTGGCTTTGTCCAAGTGTTCTTCATACATGTTCCTTGATGACATCTTCCCTTCTTTCCCACATTATCCCTTTCTCCCCTTCCCTCCCCTCTGGTTACTATCAGTTTGTTCTTTATTTCAATGTCTCTGGTTATACAATTTATAATAGCCAAGTGTTGGGAGCAACCTAAGTGCCCACCAGTAAACGAGTGGATCAAAAACTATGGTACATTTACACAATGAAATACTGCACAGCAGAAAGAAGGAGCTCCTCCCCTTTGTGACAGCATGGATAGATCTGGAGAACATTATGCTAAGTGAAATAAGCTAGGCAGTGAAAGAAAAATACTATATGATCTAACCTATAAGTGGAACCTAATCAATGAAACAAACAAGATATACCATACTTTTCAGACCATAAGATGTACCTAGGTTTTAGAGGAGAAAAATAGGGAAAAAATTTTTGAAGCAAAAAAAAATGTGGTAAAATATTTAATAACATAAATAACATAATGTTTCACCAATATAAATGTAAAGCTACATTCAGACTATAAGACACCCCCATTCTCCTCCAAAATTTGGGGGGAGTGCATCCTGTAGTCCAAAAAATATGGTAATATTTCTAAAGGTTTTTGTACTTTATAGCTAACCTTTAAAATACATGAAATGAAAACTAATAGAACTGCAAGGAAAAGTAGGCAAATCCACAATAGTCAGAGATTCAAATACAGAAGTAGACAGGAAATCAACAAAAATATAGAGGAGTTGAACAACACTATTACCCTTCTTGACTTAGTTGATGTGTAGCCCAACAACAGAACACATATACTCAATTAACATTTACCGTTAGTCCTCTGCTAGAGTTATCAATCATGTCTCAATAAATTTAAAAGTTCTCAACTCGTACAAAATATGTGCTTTGGAGATACAGAAGAAATACAATAGATATAAAAATAGCTTTGACAAAATAACACCCAATATTATTAAAAATTTAAAATATTAAGAATAGAAGAAATATTCGTCAACCCAGTAAAGGACATCTACCAAGAAAAACTCAGCTAATATCATTTTTAATGGTGAAAGTCTGAATGCTTACTTGTAAGACCAGGAATAAAACAAGGATATCTGCTTTCAGTATTTCTAATGAACCTTTTTGTAGAGGTTTTAACCAGTTCAACAGCTAAGTGTGATATTGTGACATAATAAGAAATATATATTTGGTTTCTGGCACAGAACCTCTAAAACCCTTGTAATTTCCTGAGTGATAGGGACAGAAGAGTATCTTTTATTATTCATAATGAGTTCCTTTCAGTCATACATAAGTTGATGTTAATGAAGTGACTTTGATTTGCCTTACTAGCCTCAGGGTGGAAGCTGGTCGACAGGGGAGTCAACCATGTGATTACAGGGCTGTAAATTTCAGGCCCACACCCTGACATTCAGGAATGTCAAAATGAGAAGACAAAGGAACATGGCCCAAATGAAAGAACAGAACAAAACTCCAGAAAAGAATTAAACAAAATGGGGATAAGCAATCTGTCAGATCAGAGTTCAAAACACTAGTTATAAGGATGCTCAAGGAACTTAGTGAGAACCTCAATGGCATAAAAAAATCCAGTCAGAAGTGGAGGACACACTAATTGAAATGAAGAACAATTTACAGAGAATCAACAGTAGAGTGGATGAAGCTGAGAATCAAATCAGCAATTTGAAATATAAGGAGGCAAAAAATAACCAATCAAAACAGTGAAAATAAAGAAAATCCAAAAAGATGAGGATAATGTATAGGAGCCTCTGGGATAACTTCATGTTTACCAACATTTGCATCATGGGGGTGCTGGAAGGAGAAGAGAGAGAGCAAAAAACAGAAAATCTATTTGAAAAAATAATGACAGAAAACTTTCCTAACTTGCTGAAGGACATAAATGGGCAAGTTCAGGAAGTGCAGAGAGCCCCAAACAATATGAACCTACAGAGGCCTACACCAAGACACATCATAATTAAAATGCCAAAGGTTAAAGACAAAGAGACAATCTTAAAGGCAGCAAGAGAAAAGCAGTTAGTTGCCTACAAAGGAGTTCCTATAAGACTTTCAGCTGATTTCTCAAAAGAAATTTTGCAGGCTAGTTGGGATTGGCGAGAAATATTCAAAGTGATGAAAAGCAAGAACCTACAACCAAGATTACTTTACCTAGCAATGCTATCATTTGGAATTGAAAAGCAGATAAAGAGCTTCCCAGACAAGAAAAAGCAAAAGGAGTTTGCCACCACCAAACCAGTATTTTATGAAATGTTAAAGGATCTTCTTTAGGAAGGAGAAGATCAGAAATATGAACAATAGAAAAGCAATAAATGCATATCTATCAACAACTGATTCTGAAAAACAAAATAGACAAGCAAGCAGAACAAAAAACATAATCATAAATATAAAGAACATTTTGATGGTTGCCAGATGGGAGGTGAGTGGGGGGATGGTGAAAAAGGTGAAGTGATTAAGAAGCATAGATTGGTAGTTACAGAATAGTCACAGGGATGTAAAGTACAGCATAGGGAACAGAGTAGCCAAAGAACATATATGAATGACCCATGGACATGTAACACAGTGTGGGGATTATGTAAAGAAGGAGGAAGGGCTGGGTGGAGAGTAGTAAATGGGGGAAAACTGGGACAACTGTAATAGCATAAGCAATAAGATATAATTTAAAAAATAAAATGTTAATAAGAAATACAAGTAAAATTTCTCAGTAAATTTGAAAGTAAAGAGACAGATGATGACATACCAGGCAAATACTAACCAGTAAAAGGCTGGGCTGAGCAGCCAAGGTGGTGAGAAAAAAATAAATAACCATTCAGCTGCAAAGAATGTGATTAGATGATGATCTCAAATTGTTTACACCTTCATTTCAGCTTTTGAATTGAGGCCAAACACTTCACAGCCAATGACTAAGCATGAAGAGTTATCAGGTTTGACCATTTCTGCTCATGAAAGATTTCTTAGAAGCAATCTCTGTCCTAGGTTTGTCGTTGGTTTGGCAACAACTTTGACAGTTTTGTATACTGATAGGCCCTCCTTCTTCTATCCTTCTTCTTCCCTTCTTTCCTTTCACAGGCTTCAATCAGGTCAGCATCATGGTCTAATGGCTTTCCCTCCAGTATCCTGCTTTCTGCCCCTTTAATCTCTCACGAGTACAACTTCACTCCCACATTTAACCTTTACCACTCTGGACTCTATTTAGCCTCTGCTGACTGGAGGACCTAACTGATACGCCTGGTCTAATCTCTAGATTTTTCTGATTCAACAAGTCTAAAGTGGATTTTGGAAATCTACATATAGTAGTCCCCCCTTATCCAAGGTTTTGCTTTCCTCAGTTTCAGTTACCTGTGGTCATTTGTAGCTCAAAAATATTAAATAGAAGGTTCCAGAAATAAACAATCCATGAGTTTAAATTGCACACTGTTCTGAGTAATGTGATGAAGTTTTGCACTGTCCTCCTCCATCCCTCCCAGGACATCCCTTTTTCCAGTGTCTCCACACTGTATACACTACTCACCTACTAGTTACATAGTAGCCATCTCGGTTTTCAGATCAACTGCCTTCGTATCACAATGCTTGTGTTTAAGTAACCCTTAGTTTGCTTCATAATGGGACCAAAGCACAAGAGTAGTGATACTGGCAGTTTAGATAAGCCACGAAAAGCTCTAAAGTGCTGCCTTTATCTGAAAAAACATAGTATATATGTGGTTCAGTACTATCCCCGGTTGCAGCCATCCACTAGAGGGTCTTGGAAGGTACGCCCCATGGATTAAGAAGACTGCTATAATTTTTTATTTCCCCATATGTTTCTTGTGTTTAACTGTATTTAGCACCCCTGTAGTGGAAGGTTTTAATACATTGTTTTCTGTACAATATAATTTAGCATTTAGAAACTGTCTTGAAGTCATGGCTATTTTTGCATTATCAAGTTTTATTTTGTTTTTCAGTAATATTTAAACAGATGTTTTTGAACCTGTGAGCCTCATGCTAACTAGGGATGATTTGAGAACTAAGAAGAGGTGAAGGACCTGGTTATGATGTCTTTTGTGCCCACTGCTTGGTAATATGTACATGGGAAGCTTAATGGATTGTGGCAGCGGGAGCGGGGGTTGACCAACTCAAAATGATGTCAAAATGATTCAGTCAAATATCATGTACCAAGTGAAATTATATTAGTTTTACATCCAAATAGACTAAAAATTCTTTTCAGGATAAAGCCTAGAGTAACCAAAATGTCTGGAGGGAGGAACATATGTCAATAAAATAAAATAGCTGTCTTAAATATTTCCAATGCATAATTGAAGAACAAATGGATGTTGTTTTAATTTCTACCAGGATGAAAATTTTTAATGTTTTTTCTGCTGTAGAGAAACAGACTTAATTTTTTTATAAATAAATTTTAATAAGGTTAAAAATAATGTTTAATAATATACATATTCTTAACATTTTATTGCACAGAAAATGGAGGGGAAGGTCATGTCATCCCACAGCCATTCTCCTAATACATACATCATATTACATAGATTTCCAAGTCCTCCTTAATGCATATTTAGCTGCTTACATAGCCAATAAACATGTTACTTGATAAATACATCACAATAAAATGTATACTATACAACACACATTTCCATTTTATCATATCTGTGAAACTTTTAAGCACTAGATATTACACATCAGTACCACCACAGGGATACAATGAGCTGAAGTCCTCATACGTGTTCTCATTTCTTCTTTCTCTCTCTCTTTCTATCTCTCCCTCTTAATCTCTATTTTATAAATGTGACAGATAATAAGTGTGCTTTTATTAAATAGTATAATTCTTATTATAATTTTACATCATATTCAGTAACTGGTTGATGAAAAATATAAAGTGGGAATTTTGTGGATATTACAATAACAGTATAGGGAAAGGCACATTCAAAAACCATTGCAGGGAATGTGAATAGATATGATTTTATCTATCAATCAATAATAAAAATGCACAGTCCCTTTGACCTGAAATTATTCTATAAATACACTCAAACAAATTCAAACACATATCCACAAGAAACATTCTGTATGGTATTGTTTATAATAGCAAAACACAAACAAATAAACAAAACTTAAAACAATCTATCACTAGAGTTGTGGTTGATTAAATTACAATACAACCATAAAATGAAATTTTATGTAGCCATTAAAAAGAATGAGGTAGCTCTGCTTGTGTTAATAAAAGATAAAGATTTCCAAGATATATTGTATTACTAGCTTTCTACAAGTACAGAACAGCATTGTAGCATTTTCTCATTTGTGTATCATAAAGAATATATGTATGTATATGTAAGTAGACATATAAATATACACATACAATGAGTATATTGATATGTCATGGGGACAGAAATTTTCTGAAGGAATACATAAAACTTGTTCATGATTGTTTCTTCTGTAGAATTACTTCTTGATGAAACTGGTTTTTATTATTTACTGCACTGAACAATTTGAATATTTTATCATGATTATGTGCTTTCTTTGTAATAATGTCAGTTCTTCAGAAAACTAGCTGGTCACAACTAAGATGCTAAAATTTCAATTGTATAAGGACATGAAAGAAAATCCTCTAGAACATCTTTTGTCTTCTAAGGATTTTTGAAAAGCTGATTTCAGAATAGATCTTCCTTTATACAACTCTAAGAAAATCAAAACAGTAACTGTATTGTATTGTATCTTGATTCATTTCTCCTGGTGCCAGATTCCAGCAACTTACAAAGTATGGAGATTTGTCCTATCAACTTTGTAACATCTGAGATGTCTTCAGAACCCTGTTTGTGGTATCATAGAGTGGATTGCTCTTCTCCGTATAACTCTCATAGGGCTGCATTTCATCCTAAGAAAAATCTCAAAGTCAAAATCAATTCAAAAAACACAAACATTTTTGTAGAAACTACCTATGTTTTTGTAACAGGTGCCCACAGCTTTAGTATCCACCCACAGTGTTTATATTTGTGTCTCTGGGCTTATATGACCATGGAGCAAGTTTTTTAACGTTTAATCAAAAAAACATTTATTGACTACATAAATCTTGGTGTCAAGTGATAAAGGTTGGGTGAAAGTGGTGATGATGAAGAATGAAGTGAGATAAGTATTTCACAGGAGAGGATCAAAGACTGAGTAACTCCTGGTTATAAGAGATTAGAGAGTAGAGTAGGTTTTAAACTTGGGCAAGAGGGAAATGATGGTATTGAAAAAGGAAAGTCAAGAATTAGAGATGGTTTCGTAAGGGGTAAAATATGAATTCAGTTTCTCCAAAGATTAAAGTCGGAACAAAGCGAACATTATATAATTTGTAAGATGCAATTCATGAAGTGAAAATATGGATTTAGGGGTTATGTAAATATGGTAATGGTAGAAAATTACAAAATAAGCAAAATATTTGCATTGTAAAATGGGAAGTTTTGCTTTTCAATGAAAACAATAATACTGATGAAAATTACAAATTATGTGGCTAGATTTTCAAACTATGTGGCTTAAAATTTGCAAATATTCTTTTAAATTTCATCTTACCTCCTCAAATGGAGTAGGTTCTGTTTCTTTCAATTTACATTTCCTGTACAAATAAAAATAAGTTGAATTAAATTGCAATAAATGGTATTATTTAGATTGAATATGGAAAAACAAAACAGTATACTATTGATGATTATGCTTCATTTTGATAGAAGCCATAATAAGTTGAAAATTAATGAAGAATAGTGCTTGTAGTTAACACACCCAAACAAGATAATTCTGGATTTTGGAAAAGGAAGTGATAGAACATATGTGACACCTCCTTTTTGGTACATGAAATGAATGAATTATGATGATCCTTTTCCCAAATAGTAAATTAGCATGTTCTCTCTTTCCCCAAATCCTGGCTTAAATGGCCTAACTCACTGTGATTTCATGCTTAGGTAAACTAGCAAGGTCCCTCTCATCATTCACAGTAGTCCAAGTCTAACACCTTCAGAACATGGGGAAAATGATGTTAACATCTTAATGTTACCCATTCAAATCCCTAATCATGACCACTTCCTAGACCAATAAAGCTGAAGAAGAAAAAATATATCAGTCAATACCTGCAGCCAATGATTTTCAAAAGCCAAATGGATCCAACGATGACCAAGATAAACAATATAGGGAGGATGATACATACAATACGTAAGTTCTCTGGTGTTTCAGCACCTGTATATATAGACACAAAAGTACATGCTTTAATATTATTTAGCACTATAAAGAAATGAGCTATTAAGCCATGAAAAAAACATGGAGGAAGCTTAAAAGCATGTTACTAAGCGGAAGAAGTTTACATGCAGTAGGATCGCAACCATATCACAAAAAGGCAAAACGATGGAGACAGTAAAAACGATCAGGGGTTGCCAGCATGGGCATCTGACCTTTTGGAGTCCCTGTGCCACACTGGGAGAAGAGTTGTCTTGGGCCACATGTTAAATACATTGCAACATGTTATTACAAAAACAAATCTCTTAATGTTTTAAATAAATTTACGATTTTGTGTTGGGCCATGTTCATAGCTACCCTGAGCCTCATGCAGCCTGCGGGCCACAGGTTGGACACCCCTGGTTAGGGGGGAGAGAGAAATGAACAGGTGGAGCACAGAGAATTCTTAGGGCAGTGAAACTGCTCTGTATGATACTATAATGGCAAATACATCATTATACGTTTCTTAAAACTCATAGAATGTATCGTTAAACTAAACCCTAATGTAAACTATGGACTTTGGATGACAATGATGTGTTAATGTAGCTTCATCTATGATAACAAATGCCCCGCTGTAGTGGAGGAGTGTAGATAGAGGGTATGCTGTGCATGTGTGGGGTATGTAAGAGTTCTCAGTATATTTTACTCAGTTTTGCTGTGAACCTAAAACTTCTCTAAAAACATAAAAATTAAAAAAGAAAACAAAGTTCATATACATGGTTCAAGTATGTTATACAGAACTTGAAATTCATTTCTGTAATTTTATTTCAAACACTTCTGACCCATTAACCATTAAAATAATTGTTACAAGAAAATTGCTTTATCAATCAAGTGTACAGTTTTCAGCAGGATATCATCTTATGTCAGGATTTCATTGCCTTAAGGATTCCAAAATGGTGAAATTTTGATCTGTCTGTTATAATAATAGCAGTGTTTTTTGTCTTCAAAAATAAATTGAAAGTTGTAAGGAGGGTAGCTGGAAAAATAACCCTAATTTTGAAGGCAGCAGAGGGAGATGAAGTGGGGGCTGAGCAGACTGACATCTAATCCCTCCACCTTCCTGTAACATTTTGTTTTTAAACAGTGGATTTTGTGGTATTTCGTTAGAAAAGAAACACGTGGTTTGACAGTTTAAAATAACATCGTTTTGAAATCCTCTCCCTCACTGTGCTCTCTTTCATTGGAAGTGCCCTGCAGAGGCTGAAGATCCCCCTACAGGGAAGACAGAGGAGATCCCTGCGTTGTGTGGGAGTTGACTAGTCAGCACCTTGGGTTCTGGGATTCTATAAATATGACATCATATTTTCCTATTGGATGGTCGGATTCCATACATAACCAGGGTATAATTACTCTTTTCAGCGAAAACTGCTAAACTCCTTAAAAACAAAAATAAACAGCACTTTAAGAAAGAATTTTGGAAAAGGGCAGTTCAAACACATGGGTTTGTCACTTCTCCATTCTTAAAACTTATTAAAATCAGTAAAGAATTTTTTTAAGTGTACACTTGCAAAGACAAAGAAAACATGGATGAAGTCAAGAACAGATGACATTTCCAATTGTTTTTAGATGAAAAATGAACAGAAGAATGGCAAATAATTCAGAATAAAATAAGTAAAAACCTTGGTGCCTACAGAACTTCAGAAATACTCTAGAGTAGGAAAGACTAAATAGTGAAAAAGAGGGATGTGGGAAGACAAAGTGTGGGCTAAAAGTTGGAGACTTCTTTGAAGACCTGCATTAAGAACAGGTAGCTGCCAAGTCTCCTCCCACCCTATGCAGCCAGGTCACTACCCTTCCAACCAGCAGAAAACAAGAAGTTTAACCCAGAGAAGATTAACTGGGGAGACTCCAGAGTCTTGACACAATGATCCAGACACAATGGAGGGTGAAGATGAGGTGCCATACTGAAAAGAGGTACTAAAGGAAAGTCAGAGTTCTGAACAGCCAAACACACACACACACACACACACACACACACACACACACACACCCTCTTCTTCCCTGCTGATAGCAGTCAGACTTACTCCTATGGAAAAAAAAAAAAGACTAGTTATTTTCTACAGAACCTGAATAGCCTCAGAGAAAAGACCTACAAATAACTAAGGAATCCCCAATTATTTTTTAAATTTTATTTACCACCTTTTAACCCTATTGAAATTAACTATTTGACAAGCCTAACCACAGATAACATAGGTTCTAATCAGCTCACTTTTGAATGTTCACATTGAAATGAATGGATAGCAAAGGATTAGCAAAGAGTTAAGGAAGGCCTCACATGTGAAAGAAAGAGATTGAAACTGGCACATGTCTGGAAGGCAGAAGGAACTCAGATCAAATAGACATGGTATCAAGCAGAGGGTCCAGGAAAAGAAAACGTCCAGGACAACAGCTGTGCAGCAGGTCTAGTGGCCAATCAGGCGGAATTAGAACAAGAAAATGTAAACACTCAAGAAGGGAAGCCTTCAAGGAAAAGAATGGGACTGATGGACTACCTAATAATCAAAAAAGAAAGTCTAAGCTTACCTCTTGATTTAGCACTCAACAAAGTTAAATATTCAAAACAATGTGAACTATGGCCATTGAATCTAACCAAAATTGCTGTATATTAATATAAAGATGAGGGAAGGTAAAGTGAAATTTTCATTTACCATTAGAAAATGGCCACATAATGTCTAAGTTTATTATTTTAAGAACTATCAGTAGGGGCAGATTATTTAGAAAAATGGAGTTAATTACCAGGAAAAAAAACTTGTAAACATCTAACATACTTGCTTCTAGGCAGTTGGGTGAGGATAGAGAGGTGGAGGTGGAGAATCAGTAGAAGGGCTCATTTTCTCATTATAAACATCACAGAACAATTTGACTTCACATGTGTGATGATTACAATAATATTTAATTTCTTAATAATAAACAATGGGAGTAGGCTGTAGGAGAGATTGGAAAAACCGAACAGTGATGATCTAATCATGGATGTTATATTTAAGAAATTGTAGAAAAAGTCTGAAGAAGAAAATTCTACCAGACTAAAATTTTGTAAAGAAAACTTAAGGGTGACTGTATCCTTCTGGTAAAAGTATAACTTTTTGCTTAAAATTATACTCTATCATTCTACTAAAACCCTAAGTATTCATTTAAAAGTATACTACTCGAGCCAACTTACTACCAGATAGAAGTAAACGTTAAATTCTCTTTATTTTAATTATTAAAGATTAAACCTCATTCTAAATATGGCTTCTTACAACAAATTTCTGTATTATTCTTCTAGATACAATCTTACTTGATGTAGGAGAAAGAAATAACACAGAAGGTGGGGAGAACATCCTTGAGTGAAATTCTGTGCACACTCATTCCTCCTTCTCACCATAAATTGTCTGAAAGAATGGAAAAATCAAATGCAAGACTAGAATTACCTACCTTGATTCAGTTCTGTGGACAGACTCCAGTTGCCAGCCTCGTGGAAGACAGAGCAGGACACAGTAGACACATTGCTGTCTGCCCAGTGGCAGGTACTCTGGACAGTCACTGTGCCATTGCCCCAATGCTTATGCTCAGGCACACAGTCTCCCTCTGGGGTCCAGGAGATCCAAGCAGCTGGCTTTCCTGCAACTGCCTTGCACACTGCTGTCCTATTCCTGCTGTGAGACAGGGTCACCTCAGGGGCCACTACAGAGACATAGGGGAAATGCTTTAGTCTTAACACAATAGATATGGAAACAAAAGAGACATTTCCTTCAGTCCCAAATCTGGTTGTGTGAAACACCAGTGTATGTTCCTCACCTAACACTTGGAGGTGATATCCATGACAGAAATTCCCATCAGGTGTTACCACTTCACACTCGTAAAACCCATCATGAGTGATGAGCACTGGGTCAATCTGAAGGGCAGCATTCTGGTCAGGTCCGTAGAGCCAGGTTATTCTCTTGTCAGTACAGTTTGCCTCTGACGTCTCATGTTTCTCTCTCCTGTAGGCTTTGATGCAGGGAGGCTTGTCTCCGAGCGTTATTTTCCATGTTGTTACAATCGCATTCGTCAACTGGACAGGAAGGCAGGGGAGCACAGCCTTTGTGTCCTCCAACACGGTCAGGGAGCTGTTAGCTGGACAACACACACACACACACACACACATGCAAACATGCACAAAGAATGGTAAAAGAAAGCTTGATAAAGAACTTCACGTGTTAAATTCCCCACAACATATTACGTAAAGTTGTACTAGAACATTGCTTTGCTGGTGGTCTTATTCCAAAGATATTAGACATATTAAAGAATTAAACATTCATGAAAGTTATATAACATATTAAACTGAATTTAAAGATTAACTCATTTTCTCCTATATTATGTGTTATTGGGTCAACAGGATGTATTACATGTGTGAGACATTTTTTAAGTATTTTGAAATAAATTCGGGAGCTTGATATCTATAAAAAACAAGAAAACACAATTCTCAAGTAAAAGAAAAACATAATGATTTTTTTTGATTAGAGACTATTATATTTTCTTTACAGCTCATGCTCCTCGGACAGAAAATAGAATAGTTAGTGGTGTGGTTATATCCTTCTAAATTTTGATGAGAGAGAATAAATCAGTAACATCAAGACTAAATGCTTATCTCTAAATATGATGCTTCAGACAAAAATAAATATGGAAAGTAAATAGTATTAGAAATAATTGAGATGGCATACAGGTTGAGCAAGCTGAAAATTTTTTATTTTCTTTTTTATTTGGAGAATCAGAAAGTTAGCAAAATCAGCAGACCTTCCTCCCTTCCTTTCTTCCTTCTCAGTTACACATACTCCCAGAAAGTTTATTCTTACAGATTTTGTTCTCATATAATCACTCTGATTATGAGGATTAAATGTACAGAACTTGAATTCTTTCTCCATTTTTTAAAATAAAAATTAAGCCCTGCAACCTACAAGTAGTTTCCAACACGGAAGCTCACATTTTCCCTATAAATTGACATAATGTGTCCATGACCGGTAGGGGTTCTAGAGAGGTGATTAGGTACCTCCTACAACTCATCTGCAATGGAAATGAGTGCCCATAATTTTATCACTTTAACACAAACAAAACCACCTATGGTTCTGCAGGGCAGAATTTCTACAGGAACTGAGCTTGCCTGTGCTAACCTCTGCATTTGATATCTCTACTCTCCTCTCTTGGTGTCACCTGCCTCTTCTGTGATAGACTCAGGCCTTTGGATTTCACAGCCAAAGAAAGATCCCTTAACTAGGTGGAGGAAGAGAGAGGATTATAAAGCAGATCTGAGAAGCAGTTACACCCAAACTCCTTCCACCACTCCAGGTGGCATCATCCCCTTACAGAAGGAAACTCCAACTTGGCAGAGGTCTAGCGGCACACAAGAACATGGCTTGTTGGGAACAACTAGAGTTAGATGTGAGTGAGCAGACGTGTGCACAAGGGAAAGATGCTGAAGATAAAATCAGAAAGAAAGAGACAGTTGAGGAAGCAAGTTGTGAAAGCTCCTATGTTCTCAGGAGTTGGAACTCTAGCTTGAAAACACTACAAGGCTTTAATGTTTTTGCCTAATATATATATATGTATGTATGTATTTGACTCTATTTTTAGGGAGTACTAGCTAATCATGTAAACATGTGCATTTTAACAGGACCATTGGAGTATCCAAAATAGTAACTCCAATGGTGAGGAATCTAAGCACAATAGATATTCTACGTTCTTTCACCTTCCTCCATTCTATACCTTTCAGTCAATCACCCAATCACCCTTCTCCTTTATGACAGTTCTTACAGAGTTGCTATTGTTTCACCCTTTCTTCACCCTCCTTTTTCCTTTTTAATGCCTGTACTGATCATTTACAATGACCAGGCACTGCCCTATGCTCAATGGGTTTGGCACCTGTCTACACAACTATTCTCCATCCCTCCCAATCAGCCAGAATGATTTCACCTCCTGCTTCACTGGGGATAGAGGGTGGATTCTCATATTTGCTCCAGCACCAGAAGTCATAGCCTGTCTTTTTTGGATTCTTTGCCTAAATACCTCCTACTCTCATCCAGCCTTATACACACAGACAAAATCCAATTGGCTTTCTGGAATTCTTTTCTCACTACCATCCTCTAGTTTATATCCCCATCATTATGCACCAAGATACTGCAAAAGCCTCCTAACTTCTGTCTCTGTCTCAAAACTCTCCTGTCTTCAATTCATACCTGAAATTGCAACCGGGACCATTGTTCTATAACACAGATGTGATTCACTCAACTCAAAGACCCTTCAGAGATCTCTTGCTGCCTGAAGAAAACACTGGAGTGTCTTTGTGTTGCCTTTGAAAGCCCTTTTTCAAATTGACTCACCTTTCCAATCCCATCACTCCCTACATTGCTCCCACACTTCAGAAAGAAAACACCAAGCACAAGTGCTTGGATATGTCTTTCCTCACGTTGTTCCTGTGGTCTGGCTGGCCCTGCCCAACAGTCTTTGTCTATTATAATACTGCTCTTCCTCTAAGGCCCAGTTCACGTGATGCCTCCTCCCTGAAGCCTTCTCTGAGCCTTGGTGCTAACAGCTCCCTCCTCCAGACTCCTGGTGCACTTGACATGATCACCGTGCTCATGTCTGTGTGCCCCCATAAAACCGAGCTCCCTGAGGGCTCTCTCACAGTCTTGCTCATCTTCCTCATCCTTGTGTTCTCTGTAAAGCCTAGCACAGTGCCTGATGGGAAAAGCTTCATAATTTCCAAATGGAATTCAACTGCTTTGGGGGAGGAGGGGAGGGTCACTCAGGGTCCCCCCCCATCACAGCATTCAGATCACCACATTCCTATACGGGGCACAAGGCTGGCCCTCAGACCAGACCATCAGCTGCATCTCTAAGAAAGTTTAACACTCTATTACTTCATATAACCATGGGGGTGGGTGGAAACCAAAAAGTATATTACCTCTTGTAGGCGCTGTTGTATGGTTCTGCTTTCCATCCACAGATGAAACTAGAAAAATATTCAGAGAAAGTAAATAAAATCAATTTTAGGTAGGTAAGTGAAAGGAAAGCCATTATTTCGCCACAAAATCTTATGTACAACTTGATACGAAATCAGTTAACCATAACTAAATTAAATGCTTTGCAAAACAAATTAAAGTTATTTCATCATTCAATGGAGTAATATATTAACACATGAAAATTATATTCATAAGCCATTAACCAGTGAGTTCCCATTTAGGAGATACTTCCTTTAGTACTTGACTACTATTTTGTATGAGGTAACCCTGCCTCCATCCCTTGCCTAGCCACAGTGGATTGGCCCATCATGGGCACCTCCCATTAGCTGATAACAGTCCTGATTTAAGTTGTTTGGTCCAGTCATGGGCCCCTCACCCCACTCATCAAATCCAAGATTCTCTTGAGAATTTTGAAACCAGAACTGAGAAGAATAGTTAATTCTTCTTTCTTCACTATTTTCCCTACTGCAGTGGTTAATTTTATGTCAACTTGGCTAGGCCAAAGTTTCAAGATATTGAGGTAAACATTATTCTAGATGTTTTTATGAATATATTTTAGATGAGGTTGACATTAGAAGGCATTAAGTAAAGCAAATTAGTGCTTTACTATAATGTGGGTGAGCCTCATCTAATCAGTCAAAGGCCTTAATTTAAAAAGATATTGACCTTCTGGGAAAGGGAATTCTGTCAGCAAACTGCCTTCACACTTTTATTGCAACTCTTTCCTGGGTCTCCTTGCTGCCGGCCCGACCTGCAGATTTTGGACTTACCAAATTTTTATAATCCCATGTGCCAAATCTTTAAATCTCTCTCTTTCTCTCTCTCTCTCTCCACACATGTATACACACCCTGTTGTTCTGTTTTTCTAAGAAATCCTGACTAATACATGTATGTTGGGGAGATGGAAACAGAAGCAAAGTGGGGTGGGGGCTGGGTGATAAAGAGATAAAGACTCAAATTTCTAATTCCATCATTCTTGAGATCCCCATGCATTCCTTTCTTTGGGTTTTACAGTATTTCTGACATTAAAGTAGTCCTAACCTACTTGAAATTTGATTTCTGAAAAACCTCTCTGTTGTAGCATTGTTTTTTAAAACAACAATCATTTAAAAATATTCCTTATGATTTAAGGGCTTAAAAGATTTCCTCCTCTGGGTCGAACCATTCAATAAGCATTTATAAGACTTCTGGTTATAAAAATATACTCTTGCTCTCCATTATAATTTTGCACCCAGTTCTACCACATTAAAAATCAAACAAAGAAATTTAGTAAAGATCTTAGAAATGAACAGCAAACAGGGGTCTGAAATAATCTGGCTTTTCTAGGCAGCTGTATTGGCTTTGGATAGAAGGAGGGCAAAGAATGATTCTAACTGTTGCATTTAGTTTATGTGAAACTCAAGAATCTATTCCAGAAACAGATAAGAAGTCAGACCTGACCTCAGAGGGCTTACCCAGATCAAGCTATGACATAGATATTCTAGATTCTAAAGCTTTAAAATTCATAGCATGAAATACAGCTTAGACTTTTCAGACTTCTCCCATGCTACCACACCCAGCTTCCAAGGGTTCTGGGGTCTGTCAGTTTCTTCCATTGTCAAATTCACCACCAACCAAGACTGTGTGTTTGTAATAGAAGAAAATTTACAATGTGGGTACTTTTGATTATGGTATTATTGGAGTTTCCATTCAGATGCATCAAGAGGAAAAGTTGAAGATTTACTAAGAAAAGGGAGAATAGCTCTGTCCAGGTGGGTAAGTAGTTGAAGCATTACCCTGTACACCAAAATGTTCTATCCCAGGTCACAGCATATGCATAGTATACATAGGTTGTGGGTTTGATCCCCAGTTGTGGTGCCTCCAGGAGGGACCTGGCACCTGATGGATATTCTCTCTCCCTTTCTCCCCCTGTTCTTCCCCCCGCCTTCCTTTCTCTCTAAAATCAATGAATACACATATATCTTCTGGTGAGGAAAAAAGCATCAGAAATATAAGTAAGGTGGGATAGGAGTACTAGAAGAGAAAAATCAGGATCTACATGTATTTTCCATAAAGAACCAAAAAATAAACATTTGAGCCTTTGCAGTTCATATGTTCTCTGTTGTAACTATTCATCTCTGCTGTTGCATAAAAAAAGGCAGCCATACATAATACTTAAATAACTTAAATACTTAAATAACTTTAACTACTTAAATAAGCATGGCCTTGTTCCAAAAAATTTTTTATTCTCACCTGAGGACATGTTTTTGCTGATTTTAGAGTGAGAGCAGGGGGAGAAAAAGAGAGAAGGAGAGAAAGAGACATAGATGTAAGAGAGAAATATCTATGGTTGTTTCCTGTACGTGCCCCAACTGGGGATGGAACCCGAAACCTAGGGCTGTGCCCTGATGGGGAATCGAACCTGCAACCTTCTGGTGTACAGGAAATACTCCAACCAGCTGAAACACCCGGCCAGGGCCAATAAAATTTTATTTACAAAAATCTGTGGCTGGCTGGATTTTGCCCGTGGGCCTTAGTTTGCTGACTCTTGATTTAGAGTGTAATATTTCGTTTGTTCTAATTTGTTAGAACGAACAAATGTAAATGTTTACCATTTTACCACAATTTAAAAGAACAGACGTCTATTAAGTATTCTATTTTTCTTGCTTACTTTGCCTTTTAAAAATTAAATAAATCTCTCCTAACAACTCCAACTTCTCCCTCAAGTTAGATAAATTGCCTGTTCTGTTTTTACCATAACCAGCAGCCAACTTCCTCCCTTCCTTCCTTCCTTCCTTTTCTTACCCAATGTGAAGTATGTCAAGTACTGAGGGCACCCAATAGTATTCTGAAGAATAAGAAATTATTTCTCTGCTTATTTAGTACTATTTTAAGAATGTGATCACTAAATACACCAATATTCAAAATATTTTTCATTCATCTTTTGGAAGAAAGAAGGTAAAGAAAATAGCCAAAGAACATATATGCATAACCCATAGACACAGACAACGGTGTGGGGATGGCCAGGGTGAAGGGGGTTGAGGGCTGTGTGGAGGTGAGCAAAGGGGGGCAATGGGGACACCAGCTGAAGTAGCCCCCTGGTGACCAAGAGATGGCAGCCAGGACAGGCAAAGCAGATCTACTGCAGTAAATCAGGGTTTTCTCTTGTGGGCATTTCAGCCTCTGCTGCCCTCAGGCTGCTCTCTGTTTTAATAATACAAATTTCTGTCAGTGGAAAATTCAACAACACCACCTTTGTTGATGCCTTTATGGGGCATCATTATATTTAAAGTCTTTTCTTCTATCCTTTGAATTTTATATTCTATACCTCATAGAAAGTGTTATTTTAGTGACAAAGCAAGTATTTTTCATGCTATAAACTGTTAAGTGTTAGCCCTGGCTGGTGTAGCTCAGTGGATTGAGCGTGGTCCTGCGAACCAGAATATCGCAGTTCGATTCCCAGTCAGGGCACATGCCTGGGTTGCAGGCCAGTTCCCAGCAGGAGACGCATGAGAGGCAACCATACATTGATATTTCTCTCCCTCTCTCCTTCTCTTCCCCTCTAAAGATAAATAAATAAAATCTTAAAAAAAACAAAACTGTTAAGTGTTGCCTTTCACTGGATTCCCATTTTAGCAAGATTGTCTGAGAATATAGGCAATTTGGCCACAATACTTCTTAGCAGATATACTAATAAGTGTCCAGAAACTAAAAGAAAGGTTTTGTTAGAGGAACCTAGTCTTGCATTAAGTGGTATCTTCATAATTGGTTTGAATGAAGTCTTCAAGCATTTTGAGTTTCAATGATTTCCCAATGGGCCGGATTGTGGATGAGGGCTTCTGTTTAATAAAGGTTTTCCAGTGAATGAAGACTCATGAAGAAATCTGCCTCTCAATCCAGATACTAAATCCCCCTACAATCAGGCAATATTCACCTCCTTCCAAACAATACCCTAAGAAAAATTGTGTTAACCCTGCAACTTCTCATATGAGAGATAAAACTCATAAGTTGAAATGTACTCTTAAGTGTTTTTAGAAGAGAAAATAATTATGTATATTTTTGCAAATATTCCTCTGATTATTTTTATAATATTGGATAAGCTTTTTAAACTTTGCTGATTGTTAATATGTGAGTCCCTTCATTTTATTGTCTTGATTGGCAGCTAGTTGCTGTAGAATGCCAATTTCATATACACTATCATGACTTCATCAAAAATAGAAAGAGTCCTTTTTGCTAAGTCTTGCTTGATGCTTTGTATACAGTAACAAAGAAGTACATCTAACATTTAAAGCAGCTAATCAATACTCCTGTGTTCTTTCTTTAATTTTTTTGTATGAAACTAACTTGTCTTTTTTAACTTTAGTTTTTATTGTTTACTATATCACAGGGGATATCTGTGATATTGTAAACTTGCCCTCCTCCCCAACTTGCTCACCTCCACACAGCCCTCAACCCTCTGCCCTCTGGCCATCCCCTCACTGTTGTCTGTGTCTATGGGTTACGCATATATGCTCTTTGGCTAATCCCTTCGCCTTCTCTCTTTCAAAAGTTGAATGAAAAATATTTTGAATACTGGTATGTTTAGTGATAACGTTCTTGAAACACTACTAAATAAGCAGAGAAATAATTTCAGAATAAAAAATTTACCAACAATCTTAAACATAAGTAGTATTTTTAGACAATAAAATCTATAAATGCTTATATAACAACTCAACATTCTAAAGTGTAAAAACTGTGCAACCCTGTTAGAATTATCAGTAAGAGATGAGCATTACCCGAACCATTATTGTTCTGGCCCATTTGCTGCGTTGAGTTGCCTGATGTAGCAAAACCCTCCATTTCTGCACTTATGTACCCTGAAATGGGGTGAAAAGAGAAATATACATTAATATTTTTAACTCTTAGTAAAACCACATTTTTTTTCATATTTTTGAAGCCATTTTTGGATTGCAGTTGCCAATGAAAACACAAATTATGACAGGACAGCAAAAGTCTCCAAAAAAATTTGTCCCAGTATGAACTTGTGGCCTGATCTTCCTGCCTCTTACTTCAAGCCCAGAATGCCTCTCACTTCCTTCCTGTCTTAACACTCAAATCAAAGTATTTCTTCTCCCATGTTGTAGACCGCTCTGCCTGATTTTAGGAATTATATCGCTACCCCTTGTGGCTAAGGGCAAGAGACGACCTGTGGAATGCCAGCCACAGGAGACAAAGCCTGTCTCTGGTAGCAAACGCTGCTTCAGTTCCTCTCCCTGCCCCCAAAGCTTGGTCAGAAGTCAATGACGGGTAAGACCCCTCACAGCAGGGGGCAACCTAAGCCAGACTTGATCACCTGGGAGGCCATCATGGAAGGACAGTGGAGGAGGGGGGGCTGCAACAAAGAGCAATGGACTCTCACCCCCAGGTTTTGACATAGCTCAAGTTGCCACGTCCTCTGGGAGAAGCACTTCCTGGCTCTAATCCCCTTAAGCTTGAATACCTGTTGGGGAGAGGTGCAGCTCCTTGCCTTGGTAGAGCGTGTCCTGGGGAAAAATTTGGCATCACAAAGACTTGCTGATAAACCTGTGAAATCTGCTCTGCTAAGAGTGCTTTCATTCATGTAATAAGGGTCTAGAGGAAATGAGTGTGTCTCCCAAAGTTTCTACAACTCTCCTTCTGACAGACACTGTCCGATACTAAGCCCTCAGATATCTTTGAAGTATTATTTACTGTTTGATGCTTGCTGCCCTGTATTCCTGTGTATTACAACCCAATAAAAGGCTATGGATGAGGGGGCTGCAGGCCTTTGTCTCCCCAGAGAAACTGGCCACAGCCCACTTCTCCTCTCCAAACAGATCACAGCATGTCTTGGCCATATTTATTCATTCACGTGTGTCTGTGGCACTCGGTGGGGGGGGGGGGACTCACAAAGAAGTTGCCCCCACACTCCCAGGCTTATATACAATTAAGCTACCTCTGTGGAAGAAAGGGTTTTACCATCTATTACAGGTTTTTAGGGACTAGTGACTAGGTATAAAAAGATTAATAGTGTTGTATTGATTAGGTGCTGACATGGAACAAAAAAAGGATTTTCCTAAACACTGTTAAAATCACATTATGTGAGTAACTATCTATCAACTTCGAATTTCATAAAGCAAACTCTAAGTGGCACTCTCTATAAACATATTTTGAGCAGCAACTACTGGCAAAGTACTTAGCAGGCACAGAAACACCATAACAAACAATACCTCTTCTCTCCAAAAGCTTAAGTTCCAAGCAGGTATGCATAATATTCAGATGTAATGACAGAAGTATGCATAATTCTAGAGGTTAGAAAAAAGAAAAATGTTTAATCTAAGAGAGTGAGGGTGAGAGATTATGGAAGACTCCTTACAGCAGAAGGCATCTGAGCTGGATCTTAGTGGATGAAGAGTTTTCCAGGAAGATGCAAGAAAAAAGAAAATTGCACACAGAAAGAATGGCATTTAGAAAGAAGGCATAAAATTACATGGGATTTTCAAAGAACTACAAATATTTCAGTATTGCCAGAAAGTGAGAAGACTTAGATGTGTGATTAGAGTTGAGGCTGGATATCGGCAGGCTCTCACTGTGAAAGGCACAAGCCTCCTAGAAAGTGTTCACAATGAAGTGATGCACTCCTAGTGCATCTGCAGTCAGTGTGTCTGACCAGCAAAGACAAACATCTTAGGATAAAATTTAATGCACGGTGTTTTTATGGAGAAATTTTGAATCCAATACCCCTCTGGGTTGCCATTTTCTTTAATAACATGTTCTTTTAAAAATAATACTTTTGAGCACTTATAGTTAAAAACATATTTTGGGTAATTTGCTTATTTTGTTACTTCAGTCTCTCTATCCGGACAGTTATGATTATCTTCACTTTACACATAAAGAAATGTAGACTCACAATGATGAAACAAGTTGGCCAAGGCCACCCAGCTTGGCAGCTACTCCAGTTGCCCCATTACTCTTACACAAGTAGGTCTTGCTGCAGTGACTAGAAACCAAGGTCTGGATCCTAAGAAATGCACCAGGACAAATAGACTATCCAAGTCAACATAAACTGAAAGTTGATGAAGAAAGTCCAAGCTATTTTTTTATGGGAACATTAAGAGACAAAAAATCTGAAACAGTATATCAAATGGCAAGTCCATAGAATGAGAAGTATCATGGCCTGTGCATTCAAGCACATGAATTTTGGACCAGAACTGGAATGGTTAAGGAGGAGAATTTGATAAAATTGTCCAAATTCATGGATCAAACCCATCATCCCCTTTCACCAAACTGTGAGCTCCATGAGGGCAGGGGTTTTCTCCTGTGTCGTTCACTCTGCATTCTCAGTGCTTAGTAGGGTAGCTTGCACAGCTTCCCGGCATGTGACTGTCTCAAGCTTGGTTAAAAATAAAGGTCAACACAACCCTATAGCAAACTGGACTAAAGATATCAGCAGTTACTTTTTAGAAAAAAATGCAAATATTTCTTAGTCATAGAGAGAGATGCTCAACACCATTCATGGTAGTAAGAGAAATGCAATTTACAAATTTAGATAAATACTATTTTTCACCAAAAGAATGTAAAAATACAAAACTTTAACAACGTACTCTATTTGCAAAGCTGTGGAGAGACAGACATGTCTACAGACTGCTCATGAGAATGTACAATGTTACAATTTAAATCAAGGGAAATTTGACAGTACATAGAAAAGTTAAATGTTCATTTTCCTTTGGACCCCACAATATCACTTCTTGGAATCTAGCCCAAAGATGCACTGGCAACAGTATAGAAAGATTATATACACAAGACTATTCATTCAACATGGTGATGGCAAGACTTTTAGACATAACCCAATAGCCACTCACAGGGGATTAGTTGTCTAAACCACAGTATATCCACAAAAGGAAAGTATGGCGAAACTCTTTAAAAGAATGAAGGATAACTCCATAAACAATGACCCAAGTGACTTTTAAAACACGGTAACTTCACTGTATGTCTCTATGGAACATAACTGAATGACAAAAATGCACAACAAAAACTATTTTCGATAATCATATTGTTGGTGGTAGTGTCTGGTATTTTTATTCTCAAACTCTTCTATATGTTTTGAGGGATAAATCAAAGGAGTTATTATGTTGCATCATTCAGTATTTCAGTGTGAGAGAAAAGATATAGATGTAAAAATGAACAAATTTAAGTAAAAACCCTGAGTCCTAAATTGGAATGAAAAGTATCAGTACCAACTCATAATGTATTTTACCTTTTAAAATACAGATTTCCACCCTAACTGGTGTGGCTCACTTTGTTGGGCATCATCCTGCAAAGCAAAAGTTTGCCAGTTCAGTCCCCGGTCAGGGCACATGCCTGGGCTATGGGTTCAGTCCCCAGTCAGGGCGTGTGCAAAAGGCAAACAATCGATGTTTCTCTCTCCCATCAATGCTTCTCTCCCTCTGTTTCTCCCTCACTTCCTCTCTCTCTAAAAATAAATAAATATATTCTTTAAAATACATATTCCCTAGCTGCTGCCAAGTTTTGGGGGAATCATTATATTACAATACATAACCACTAACATTGCTACCAATTATGTTAACCTAATTGATATTTTTAGAACTCTGCAACCAACATCTGCAGAATATGCATTCTTTGCAAATGCACATGGTATATTCGCTGACTTTAACCACATTGCGGGCCATAAAGCAAGTCTCAGAAACATTTTAAAAACTGAAGTTGTACCAGAGATGTCCTATTAAAACAGAAGTAAGCTGGAAAACAGTAACAGTAAGATATTTAAACAAGCCCCAATTATTTGGATATAAAACATGTTTCTAAGTAATTTGGTCAAAGAAGAAATTTAAAAGGAAATTACAGGCTATTTTGCCTGAATGATAGTAAAAATAGGAGGTCTGTCTGGAAAAAGCCCAGCCATTGTTAATATCATGAGAATGCTTTGTGCCATATCAGTGTAACCAGACAGCCAAGCAGAGTAGACTGGACTGCACGTGTGTGAATAATGACAACTTCACTGCACTCATCAGTGGGAACAGTAGACGCTGGTGAGCATGTGTACTGTGCAGCCGTCCCTTTCAAAATGACTGAGCAAGGAGAGCACCGAACCAGCATCAAATTTTGCATTAAGCTTGAACATTACTCTGAAGAAACTATTAGGATGATTCAGGAGACCACAGCTATGGGCAACTGGTGATTGGCAACTTCATCACAACAATGCACCCTCTCACGCATTACATCTCATACAGAGCTTTTTGGTAAAACATCAAATCACCCAGGTGACTCAGCCCCCCTCTGGTCCAGATTTGGTGGACTTCTGGCTTTTCCGAGAACTAAAATCACTTTTGGAGGGGAAGAGATTTCAGATTGTCAGTGAAATTTAGGAAAATATGATGGGGTGGCTGATGGTGATTGGGAGAACTGTGTGAGGTCCCAAGGTGCCTACTTTGAAGGGGACCAACGTGTCCTTGTCCCATGTACAATATTTCTTGTATCTTCTTGTATCAATAAATATCTCTATTTTTTATATTACTAGGCTGGATACCTTCTGGACAGACCTTGTACAACACATAAAATTTGTGATTTGCAGTTAAAGCAATTTTTATTAATAAAAACTAATAATTTTTATCTTTTTGAAGATTTTATTTATTTATTTTTAAAGAGAGAGGAAGGGAAGGAGAAAGAGAGGAACAGAAACATCAATGTGAGGTTGCCTCTCCCATGTCCCCTACTGGGGACCTTGCCTGCAACCCAGGCATGTGCTCTGACTGGGAATGGAACTAACAACCCTTTGGTTTGCAGGATGGCACTCAGTCCTCTGAACCACACCAGCCAGGGAGAAAATTAATAATTTTAA